CCATCATATTTATCTTAACCTCTTCAACTTGGAAATGTGCTCATCCCAAAAATATTTTCTCCAAAATTACCTCAACTTCTCTAGATATGTCCTTGACTTTACCATATCCTGTGGAAGAATAGTCTGTAATAGCCATTCTTGACTTTATTCCTTAGTTCCCTGCAATCTAGTTTATGCAAAAAAGTGCCCACCTTTCCCAGCCTCTTGGCCAAATGTCACCAAGTGGAGTCACACGTTACATCTTGGAGCCTTTTCTCTTTGTCTTCCAAAGATCTTTGGTCCTTCTATGGGTTCATCTGGTCTGCGGTTGGCTTCTTTCCCTCTCACAAATCTTTTCTTTCCCATTTTATAATTTCATCACCCCCTAAGAATGCAACCATCACCTCAATCCTGGTGACTCCCCACGCTTGATTTCCAGCGCCAAACTTGAGTTCCTCATACCACCTCCCTGTTGAAGTCCTGCCAACTGTTCAAACATAGTGTGTGCAAACATGAGCTCCTTCATTCAGCAGGATTATTGGAATGGTTACTGCATGCCAAGTGCTATGTTGTGAATGAGATGCAGACTTCAAGGAATCTAGTGGGAAAGAGATGGGGCTACATCATTGTAATGCAGTTTGGTATGATAAATAGTAGAGGGATGTATTTAGGAGTACATGGGGAGCATAGAGGGAGGTCCCCACACCACCTGACCAGAACTTCAGAGGGGAGGTGTTAGTCAAATGGGTAATGGGGAGTACAGGTGGGTGGTGGGGGGCAGGAAAGAATGGTTCATGAAAAGGAGAATGTGTAGCACATAACACAGAGTTGAGTATAGGAAATATCTAGTCACATTCACTTATACTTGTATGTCTTCACCTATTGACTTTTACCCCCAAAAGTCCTCTGGGAATATTTACTGAAAGCATTTTACCCTGTTGGAGAGATTCCAGGCTTTTGAAGATAGAGAAAGTGCTATTTTTTAAAGAAACTGTGTCCCTTCACCCCCTCCATGAAATCCAACCTGCCTACTCATGAGGGTGCTCAGATTGGCCCCGGTGTGACCTACCTCTCCCCAAGCTTGCAAAGGCCTCAAAAGTTCTTCAATTTAACAAACATTTATTCGGCAGTCTATGCTGTGCCAGGCACTCTTTACCATTGGGAATACAAAAACAAATAGCCCACTTCTGGCGTGCAATCCGGTGGGGATTATCAGTGGCCTGAGTGGAATAACAAGAGAAAAGAGTGAAAATCTGACCTGAGCTGGTGGGCAGTGGGGGAGGTCTCACTTGGGCTGGGCTTCCGAGAGTGAGTTCAAGGAGGGAAAACATGTCAGGAGACAGTTTCCCCTTCCTTCCCAACTTTCCAGGAGGTCACTTCTCAATGGTGCTTAGGGACCTGAGTATATGTGTGGGTGTGGGGCAAGGGCGGGTTATACAATTGAGGCTGAGCACACCCCACTCGGGGCCACTGCTCTCTCCTCCTGCCCCATTGGACTGCGAAGTACTTCAAGCTAAGACAGGTCTTATTCTCTGTGTGCCCCCTGCCTCTGCCCTCCTCCTAGTACCAGCTACATAAGTGCTTAGTAAGTATCTCTGGGATAAATGAATGAATAATAAAGTGGAGGTTGTAACTACTTTACTTGCCTCTGGGGCATTGTAAGACATCATTAGTTAATGTGTGCAAAGAGTCATATCAGCCTTAATTATTAACATTATTTTATCTGCCAACCGCCTATGGCTTACTTTCTGTGTATGGTAACGGCAGTTGGGCCTGGAACAAAATTCCCTGCTGTCCACTCCCAGCTTCCAGTCCTAGATTTAATAATTCAACCTGAGGAAGTGCTGGAAGGGCAGCATGAGGGACCCTTTCCCCAGAGCACTGGCAGAGGAGGGGGCATGCTTTGGCCATGGCAGCCATTTTCCTGCAGCTTCAGGGCTGGGTTAGGAGGAATGGCTTGGGATTGATCCTTAAGGAGGAGCAGAGGGCACATCACTGCTTTCCCTGTCTGATTTGCCTTTTTCTGAGTTGGTCCGAGAGCAAATCGATGTCTGTTTTTCTCCATTATTAAGGGTTTTATTCGGAGGAAAGTAACTTCAGGCCTCATGTGACTTTTTCTTCTGCCTTAAACATTTGCCCAGCCTGAGTCGTTTTCTACTCCATCATCCCCTCAAATGAGAAATGCCAGAAAACTAACTCTGAAGATTACAAGGCAGTTAAGAAAGTCACAGAGTACAGGATAATGACTTGAAATTTCCATGTCATTGATGAGAAACATATTTTGTTCATTCATTAAGAAATCTCTCTGTTATAATGCAGAGTTATATTTGTTCTCCAAATTCCTTTTTTTTTTTTTTAAGATTTTATTTATTTATTTGAGAGGGAGAGACAGGAAGAGAGGGAACACAAGAAGGGAGAGTGGGAGAGAGAGAAGCAGGCATCTTGCTGAGCAGGGAGCCTGATGCGGGGCTCGATCCCAGGACCCTGGGATCATGACCTGAGCCGAAGGCAGATGCTTAACGACTGAGCCACCCAGGCGCCCCTGTTCTCCAAATTCCTGATGGTGAGATGATCCTAAGGAGAAGTGTGTGTGTGTGTGTGTGTGTGTGTATGTGTTGAGATCTTATCACCAAGTGGGTTGGAAACTAGCTTCTTGAGTTCTTATTAAACTTCCTTAATGTTTCCTTTGGAGGGAAAAATTGTTGGCACTATATATTACCTTCTAATATACTCTCTCTCTCTCTTGCATACAGAGGTCTGTTTAGAGACTCATTGGGATAATAATATCTATCTATGGAAAAGTTAGTAGTCCAAGATCACGATATAAATTAGCAGACCATTGTCATGCCTGAGTAACATACAAAGGCTGGCTGGGCTTCCTCATGGAACTATGCCACACTTCCCCTTTCTTATCTCCTTTTGTGTAGCTAATCTGGATCCTTCCCCCACCCCCCAATGCCTTCCTTCTTGGGTTCTCATCCAGACTTCCCCCTCTGACGTATTGGTAACGGACTTCTGGACTCCCAGTGGACCCCCTCACGGCTGCCAGTCTCTGTGACCCACATTTGGGGTACACCATTCTATTCGTGCCATTACCGGGGCCTCAACGTAAATAGCTGCAGGGCCCAGCAAGCTACAGAACAGATAGGAGAGGTGTTCTGGTGAACTGGAATGGTCACACCCTGCCTGAAGAGAGCAGCCGCTTCTTCTAGGCTCGGCTGATTCAAGTGAAACAAGGCAAAACAAACAATGAGAATCAAGCCCAGGGTTGCCAACACACTAGCAATTTCACCACGCAGTTGTCCATGGGAACTCTTCCCAATCTAAAAATGTTGGCATCGAAATTAAGAAACAATCATGTCGACCAAACAAAATGCATCTTACAGGATCCTACCTGCAGGCCTCCAGTTTGCAGCTTCTGATACTTAATGTATGGGAGTGCAAAGTCTAGTGGCCCAGACAGAAAAGTCTCTCATACTGAAGCCACGGGGAAGGGAACAACATGAACACAGTCCCCAAGAAGGCTCTTTACTCAGATATGAAGATTCACCAAGCTACCTCTGATATCACCCAGTCCTACAAGCCCACGTGATGTGCCCTCCTAGTACCAGGTGGCCATTTCTGGCTGAATTCTGACCCATAGAACCAGAGATTTGAGGAGTGAAGTTATCAGTAGATTGTGCAGTGGCAGAAGCAAGCAATGCATGGAACCTTGGACTATTGTCTGAAAGCACAGTATCTTCAGAAAGGTCTGGGGAGTTCTTAAAAAAAAAAAAAAAAAAAAGGCAAAGAGCTCACCTACTCTAATATGCCTTCTGCCCAGAGTGGGGTTTGCAGATGACAAGTTGAGCATAAAACATTATCACTTCAGGCTCAACACGGCTGTTGATATGACATGTGACACTTGTGGTTGGGTCTCCTTATTTTGGAAAATCTGTCCTTGCTCTGCCACTGCCTTGTTATACTCTAGATTTACATCACCATTTTGGAAGAACTCACACTAAAATATTAGGTATTTTTGATTTGAGGCATTTTTTTTTTTTAAAGATTTTATTTGAGAGAGAGAATGAGACAGAGAGAGAGCATGAGAGGGGGGAGGATCAGAGGGAGAAGCAGACTCCCCGCTGAGCAGGGAGTCCGATGCGGGACTCGATCCCGGGACTCCAGGATCATGACCTGAGCCGAAGGCAGTCGCTTAACCAACTGAGTCACCCAGGTGCCCCGATTTGAGGCATTTTTTAAGACAACCAAAAAATCTTCTGATTTTTGAACCAAGTTTATGATGTGGAAGGTCACCCCCGGAATTAAAAGGTCACAGAAAGCAGAGTTAGGGCCAGAGGATGTGAGCTGTATATCCGCTCTAGTGGTCATGAGTCCCTGAGGCTGATTGCCCCCCAGATATTTTCAACAATTTCATAAAACCCAGTGTATCTCTCAATAATCATTACTCAAAATAGGGGCCCTGGAGGTGTCTTTCTGGTAAAATATGTCATTAAGCATAAATTATGCAAAAATTAAAAAAAAAAACCCTTAGTTTGGATGAAATGATTTGCCTTTCAGACATTCTTTCCTATTTTTGCATGTCCAAAGCAACTTACATCCTTTCACACAATCAATGCAATTGATCTGTTTTGTGAGATATATGAATGATAGTGTTCATTGTAGAATGATTTTATTTCAAGGTAAAGGATAGCCTGTGACCTATGGAACTAACTTTGAAATGTCATTCTGAATCAAGTTAAATGAGTCATCATGCATTTATTCAAAGAATCTTCCTAGCCGGATGTTATTCTCCTCTCTCTCTCTCCCTTATTCTTCTCTGTTAACTTCAGTATCACATTAGGATTTTAAAGAAACTGTGAACTTGGACAAGGAACTTAGCTGTGTTTAACCTAAGTAGAAGGATATTTGGCTGACCCTAATTAAAAAAGCAGACTATAAGTCCCCATGAGTACTTACCCCGTTCTTGCCAGAAAGTAGTCTCTCTCGCCTTGTCTGGCATTAAAGGCCAGGAAGCAGAACATACACCAGATGAAAAGAGGAAAACCCCAGATCTAAGAGCCTTAAAATGGAAGTAAAAGTGAAACACCACTTCTTTGCATAGCTTATTTCCCCCTAATTACCAAAACAGCTTACACAGTCAGCCCCACTTTGGGCACTGTCTTCGATGTCTCTAGGAGGGATTACTCAAGATGCAAAGAAGGCTTGACCTCGGGTAGACCTCTGTTGTCAGGCATGAGAACCAATCTTGCATCAATGTATCTGTATAGCTCCTTACAGACTGGGACTGCCCGGAGGGAAGGAATAAAAAAGTGTTCAAGTTATCTTTTCAGCACAAAGAGCACAGGCATCCAAAGTTCCTCATAGTTTTACTGGATCACAGGAGAGGGCTAAAGTGAATGCCCCACTATTGGTAGATAGGAGGCTGCGGGCTCTCTTTTTGCCAGCCGGTGAGCCCCCATCTACACCGCTGCGGGACCTTGGAGATCCCTCACCTCAAGCTCCCTCATCTACCATCTGCCAATTGGCCATATTTCCCAGAAGCTTCTCGGTAAGTGTTCACTCATTCTCTTTAGCTCTGATCTGCTTTGAGGTTCACTGGCCACAGCCCTTGGGGCAGTCACACCTCTGACAGTCCTACTTGCTGGGGTTGTGAGCATCCCTCACTCTTCCAGCGGGTGCTGCACTCATCCCCTGGTGACCAGCCTGGGCCCACAGGGTGGCTCCACTGCACAATGGCCTGTGGCCTACCACGGGAGGCAATGGTCTTTTCTCCACCATGAAACAAGCCCATGGCATTGGAGTCAAGGAGAGAGGTGGGTTCGAAACTCTAATCTGCCACTTAGCAATTTGGGGTAAGTTACTGTATCTCTTTAAGCCCCAGTTTACTCAGCTATAAAAATGGGTCAGCTGTAGCACTGAAATGGTAGCATGTGTATAAAATTAAAATTCAAAACATATATAAAGCTCTTAGCAGGATGCTTAGCCCAGATGGTAAGCATTCAGTAAATATTAGCCACCAGAAATATTATCAACAGCTAACTGATGTCACCCCAGGCTGTCCTTATTTGTGTCATAAGAAACTATTTCCTCTTCTATCCTGTATTATTGAGCACGCAGTTCTACACCAATATTTCTCTTAGTCTTCCAATAAAAATTTTTCTCCTGAGCACCTTGGTTTGTTTCAATAGCTGCTGACTATTTACGGTGGCGTTTGTCCACTTGCACATGGGGCTCTATGTTTACCAGGGATGGGCACAGGGGAGGAACTTCACCAGTTCCCTTTTATCTGTATATTTATTTTTTTTTAATACCCAGTCATTTGCTTTTTTTTTTTTTTTGATGTGAAGGTACAATGAGCACTCCTGTTACTACTTAAAACATGTACAAGAAAAAATATTTTTCTGACTATCTAAGCCAGCCAAACACACTTTCTGGTGATCTATTGTGCCCCAATGGCTTTTTCTGATGAAAAGTCTCATGGCTTCTAGTGAAAGGCTATAGCTGCTTGTCGTGCAGTGATTAGCATATAAATGCTCATCTCTGTCATGGATGTGTATAATCATGAAATATGCTACCATCTAAGTAGGAACGCGCAGTAGACTGGGGTGCAGAACATTATAGCATCTTACAGGAATGTAACATTTATGGCTGAATAGTCTTTTTCCATATAAGCAGGTATAATAATTTCCCCCCAAATACTGTCAGGATAAAGATTCTTAGACTTGGTCAAGGGCCAGAAAGAAGTGCTTTTGCTGGTACGTGAAGACAACCTTAGCAAGTCCCCCACTAGTATGAATATACTCTGTGTATTTAGGCTTTAAAAATTGTAGCTCCTTAGACATATGACGTGGTTTGGATATTTTTGTCTGAATTAAAGGATCAACTGACCAACAATGTAAGGATTTCCTTTTGAAATTTAGATTTAAAAAAAAATTTTTTTTATTTATGTTATGTTACTCACCATACAATACATCATTAGTTTTTGATGTAGTGATCCATGATTCATAGTTTTTGTATAACGCCCAGTGCTCCATGCAGTACATGCCCTCCTTAATACCCATGAAGTTTAGATTTCTGGAATGGAAAGAGGCTCTCATTTGCATCGTGCCCTAGGTTGCAGCCTGGGAATTGTGGGTGGTGTCTCATCTATGATACAGCTGAATTATCTTGAAGGCAGGGTCTGTTTTGGTCACCATATCTGCGGTACCTGTGACTTTTATTTAAAAAAAAAATTTTAAACATTTTATTTATTTGAGAGAGAGAGAGAGAGAAAGAGTGTGCACATGAGTGAGGGTGGGGGACAGAGGGAGAAGCAGACTCCCCACTGAGCGGGGAGGCCAAGGAGGGGTTCCATCCCAGGACCCTGGGATCATGACCTGAGCTGAAGGCAGATGCTTAACCGACTGAGCCACTCAGGCGCCCCAGTACCTGTGACTTTTAAATTAGCTATTCACTGAAAGAATTCATGGCTTAGTGAATTTTGTGAAGTAGATGCTGTTTATCTTTGAGGACCCTTCTTTCCCCTCTGTGCTTTCCACCGTGAGCCTCTGAACTTGAGCTTCCTTGCCCAGTACACCTGTGCTTCCATACACAGAGGTCCCGCGATCCCCCTCTCCACCTTAGCTGCTTCTACGCATAGCATGCACACTCGGTGGTGCCTGTGCTATGGAGATTTGCAATTCACAAGGAGCAGAGACCCTACCATGAAAGAATGGCAGTCAGCCTGCTATGCAGGTCCATAATGTTGAACATTGGAGCTTTCCTAGAGCCCTAAAACCACACACATTTGTGGTCACTCAGTTGCTGTATGTCCAGCATTGCCCTGTTGTGTTCATAAGACAGCTGAATTAAACTGTCTAAATGCAACACCATTTTTCAAATAACTATTTTCAATTATGGATAGAATTGAGTGTTTTAATATTATGTAGCATGGGGTAATCTGGGTATTTTCACGTACAACCTCTTTTACATACTTGACACTAGGTTGCTTTTTAATGAAGTGTCTCGTTTTTATTAGCAATATTAGTCCATGTCAGTACTGGGACCATCATTCAAGCATTTATTAGTTCTCTCTAAGATGCTGCTAATAGCTGAGCCAAAATAAGCCATGATATTTTATTTTTGTATTAATTTGTTTCATAAAAATTTCTTAGAATTAGATTCTGCCCTAAGTAATACAGATTCCTAAATAGTGGCTTAAATAGAAGTTTGTTTCTCTCTTACATAAAAGAAGGCTAGATATAGTATTACACAGTGCTTTGTCATCTCCATGAAATCACCTATGAGCCAGAATTCTGGCAATTTACTATTCCACCTAGCATGAAGCTCCCATACTCATGGTTTAAGATGGCTGCCGGAGATCCAGCCATCGCAATCTCTTTTCATGCAACAGAATGAAGGGACGAAGAAAGGTGCAAGTTGTCACTTAAAAATGCTTCTGGAATGTCCTAACATCATTTACATTTAAGTCACTGACCAGGACTCAGTCACACATCAAATTAACTGCTGCCTACATCACACTTCAGATAAGTCTGGGGAACGTAGTTTTCAGCTGTGCAGCAATGTTCTCAGCTAGAAATACAGATTGCACTACAAAAAGAGAAAGGCTATTAGGTGATGCATTCATTTTCTATTGCTGTGTAACAAATTCCCACAAATTTGGTGGCCTAAAACAATGCCCATTTATTATTGTGCAGTTTTTGTGGGTCAGAGTTCAGGCACAGTTTAACTGGGTTCTCTGCCCAGGATCTCACCGGCTGAAATCAGGTATCAGATGGGCTTCATTCTCATATGGAGTCTCCACTAGGGAAGGATCTGCTTTGAGGCTCTCTTCGGTTGTGGGCAGAATTCATTTCCTCGTGGCAATTCATGGTTGCTTGCCTCTTCAAGCTGACAGTAGAGAAGGTGCTGCTTTGTTCTCTAACTTCAGGGAAGGTCTGGATCCTCTTTAGAAGGTTTCACCTAGTTAGTTCAAACCCACCCAGGATAATCTCACTTTTGATGAACTCAAAGTCAGTTGGTGATAGACCTGATAACATCTGCAGAATCCCTTTATCTTTGCCATATTCTGTTGCTTAGAAGCAAGTCACAGGTCCTGTCCACCCTCAAGGGGAAGGATTGCACACGGGGTGACTCACTGGGGATCACCCTGGGGTATGTCCACCAGAGATAAGCAACTAATGACTGTTGCTACACACGTGTATATGATTCTTTTTTTTTTTTCTACAATCTTCCATTAAATAGTGGCATGTCAGACCCAAAAAAAGAATTGCCTGAGAAATTACCTTATGGATTTATGCAAGATGTTTCAGCAATTCATTGCTGCATAAGCAAAATTTAGCCACTGCCAATAAAACTAATGCTTATCATTTATTCAAGGTATTAGTTTGTCTTATAATTTTCCACCTGTGTTTGCAGCATTTTATAGTGTGAGTTCCTTTTTTGAATTTGTTACTTCAGTGAAATTAAAAACTATTTTTGCCATTTAATCTAAGTGCACATTATATTTTGTAAGTGCCAGTCCCTCATTCCATCCAAAAACTGTAATTAAAAACATGTCTCAATGTCAAAAGAACTTGAGAAACACTAGCCTTGGCAATACAGACGGATTCTTCAGTAGAGGTAAGGGTGGGTAGGAGTCCAACTCTGTCCATCAAAGGAAGTCTCTTAATGGCTCTTTCACTTAAAGAGGGTTATTTAATAAGACTGCTCCATCTGAAGCAATAAGACTGCCATTAAGAATAAGCAGTGTATCCACAGGTCTTCTGGCTCATGTCTCTACCTAACAAGAACATGTAATAATGAAGAATAAAAAGGCACCTGAGCTATGAATATAGATATTAAAAAGTTTGGATAGAAATGCTCATATGCTTACTCAATGGAGAGACTTTCTCAGAGGCTTTCCCATTTGTTTTATAATTCTATTAGTCTTAGTTATCTGGGTTCTTTGTCCTTAGGAGAGAAGTAATGGAAAGAGATGAGCTATTGCAGTTTGAGACCCCAAGAGTGCCATGAGGTGACCTCTCTAAGAAAGACAGAATAAATACAAAACAGAATCAGAAGTTCAAAAAGCACAGAATTGTGAGGCCATTTAGTTCAGGGACATATGGTAATGTGTTACTATAACCATTTTTATAAACTCTACATAGTTTACCAATAATCATCATGATGACCTTGGGTTATCCAAAGTACTGAATACCTTTTTGAAAGTTTCTAAAGATAAACTTTTTTTCCCTCCAAAATCCTTTCTCACAACGTTATACCAAAATGATGGCTATAAGGTGTGTGACAGAGGAGCTTAACATAGTAAATCCTCAATGATGTTAGATATTATTCTCTATCACTATAACTATGGTCATGGCTATTCTTGCTTTTTCCTGGCTTGTCCCAGCCAGACCTGATAATCCTCAGCCCTAACCTCATCCATTCTGTACCAGTGTATCCTGATTCCATTCTTAAGCCATAATTAACCCAGGAGTTTAATAGCAGTGTGGGGTTCATATTGCCCCAGCTAAGTACTCATACTCCTATTTTTGTAAATAAAAGTCT